CGCAATATTCCTACGATATATTACACGTTATATATTACACATTGTATCTATAACAGTCGGGATATCATCTCGGACGCGGTCGGAATATCTCATGGTCTCTTTAGTCCGGTTGCGATCAGTAAAATCCTCCTTTCGTCAGCATTGTTACGGAAAATCAGCGCGCATTTTTCACGAGTCGACGGACAATAGGAAGGGAATGCCGGAGCATCCGACGCTGCCTTCCATTGTGATTTTTCCGTTTCTTTCGCGAGACTCCGTCCATTTGTTCGCGGCAGATCGAAGTTTTGCGGTTGTTTCGCACAGCCATCCGCGCCCCGAAATGCTACAGGTCCCGCGCGTTCTGATAAATGGAAAGTCGACCGGCCACTACATACAGCGCCATAAATCCAAACGTCGCGTGATAGACGATCCTCGAATAAAGCCCTCTATAATTCCGGGTTATCTTATCTGCGACGTCTGTCGATAGGGTGAACGGTGAACACTCAGAAAGGTTTCTTGTATTTCAGTTTCTCTCAATGAGTAACTGAATTCAGCAAAACGGAAGAACGGAGGCAAATTAAATATGTACGAGAAATTTTTTATTCTGCGTCTTGTAAAGTCAGCTAAATAAGTAAAATATGTCATTATATCGTTTTATATGTAGAGAAACGATAATAATATATCATCATAAATTTCCGTCTGTGAAAATCACATTAAAATCAAGTCTGTAAAAATATTATTTATATGAATGGCTGAATAAAATTCCCTTGTATAACGCAGTATCTGTGAGAGGAAAATACAAAACGCACGCCATCTATTTGCGTACAGATTCTGCTACTTCTGCTCGTCGAGCTAAGGATATGCGAAATCCTAACTAGAATGGATCTGAGTCGAAGCGTGCCTTCGAGCGCGACACGAGGATCATGGCTGATTGTGAGATCAATCCGTAAATTCGCTCGCATCCTCTGCCGCGTTTTGCTCTTCGCGTAATGCGCTATCTTCTAGGATTTACAGTTTTCATATCTGATAGTTACTTCAGAATAGAAATTATTTCACGAATGTTTACGTGGCATCTTGCAGATAAATTAATTTTGTAGTAAAAATGGCATGTAAAAAATATTAAAATTAAATAAATTCGACATAACTTTGTAATTCCGTCGAAATTAAAGCAAGCAAATTCTGTGGAATATACGAAAATGAACTATATTATTATACAATCCTAATAATTGTACTTCGACTAATAATTGTATTCATCGTTTCATTAATACCACTATCGTATATTATTAATATATAATGAACAAAAAGGATTGCAGAAAAAGAATTTAGTATTTTCGGCCGGGCTCGCCTAGCAGGACCGCCTCGTTATAATCTTTCGATTCATCTGACTCGACGACGAGTCTCCCGCGAGCTAACAGAGACAATCTCTCGGGATTCGTAAACAGGCGGCATTTTTTCGACGACAAAATCGAGGGAATTCACGTTGTTCCCGTGTTCTCACGAGCGTGTCCCGAGTCGCCCACGCCTAACAAACAGCCGCATACGAAAACGAGAATCTTCCCTCTCCCGAGAACTTTACAGATAATTAACTGACATTAACGTTCCATTCGTCGGGTGTGGTTACGTTCGCGGTTGGCTCGTATTTCTCCACGAGAGTCGGTGCATACGGTGTTTTTACGACTGATAAGGATCGCTTTTCCACCGAGACATCCTTGCTCCGCGCATCTCCGTTCCTCCGCACCGTTCCAGCCTTGTCCCGAACAACGACTCCGCCGACAGAGCGGATTACGAAATTCATTGGCTTCGTTTTGTACGGAGGACTTCGCCTCCACGTCGTCGACATCGTTTCTCCTTGGCTTCCGCGCAATTAGGGTCAACTCGACGATTTGTCGGGAGCGATTTCTTTCAGGGAGCTCGAGCACAGGAAAAAGACAGCCGTATCTCGTAAAACTTCATCTATTATTTATAATAGTAATGCATCCCAAGTTCTGTTACGCGTCATACTGCAGATAATACCTCCTTATGCGGCAATTAAATAACATGCTGCTCGATACGTAATAAATTACGTCGCTCTGGAATATTATCTTTCGATAAAAACTTCTCGCAACTTGGTTCATAAATAATATTGAATTAATTACAGGCAGAAACTGTCAAACATTTAGGATGAGGCTCCTCCTCGCTGCAGTGTATCAGAAATGAAATTAATAACCTCTTAGCAATACGAGACAAGCCCTATCACAGCGTCTCTCGTATATAGGCATTAGAAATAAATTAAATGATATTGAGTAACATAGATTAAATCGAATCGGAGATACGGGACGGGGAAGGGGGGCCCGCGAATGGCGAATCGCGCGTCGTGTGTGGCGCGCGTTTGCGCGATCGGAAATCCGTAAGCGCGGCGATGCCGCCAATAAAATATGCATGTACACTCGCGCAGCTTCGTGTAGAGGTGCCGCGCTACATCCCACGTGGCGTACCCTACACGGACGTCTCACGTGTATTAATCTGCATAAACTCATTCCTATGCAAACGAAGAGATTCGACGTTGAACTAGGATATCACGCGAAGCCTCCGCGGCTTACATCGCGGCTTAAACGAGCTCCTATACGTGCGCACGCGTGCGGACGCATGCCGTCCGCGTGCGAGCCCTGTGGTGTGAGTGCATAAATATATATATATATACATATATATATATACATATATACATATATATATATATACAGATGCATACACGAATACGTGCGTATATGTGTATGTGTGTATCGTAAACGATATACCGATCGTAAACGGAATCTCCTTCGTCGCGTCGACGGCATAATAATTGCGAAATCCCCGTTGTCCCATCCCCCTCCCCTCCCCCCCCCTCCCGCCTTCTTCCGTAGTAGACGACGCTGGCCGGCCATCCAAAAGGACGTCGACGACGAGAAAATGGCACCTGCCTGAAACGATCGCGCGATAATCTGTCCCAACCGTAGTCCGCGAGATGAAAAGAAAACAATCGATGAATAATTTTGTGGCCACCAGAGTGCTTACCGCGCGTCCGGGGAATTAATTTCGACGAAGCGGCATCGCAAGCGTTAAGTCCCTCATGAATACAATCAGGAGATAAAGCTTTTATGGCGACTCCGACGTATAAACGATACCGTTTTCCGATAATTTCTAATTTAACACTTAGTGCTTAGGGAGATTAAATGTTTACGTGGGGAGAGGGAAGGAGAGAGAGAGAGAGAGAGAGAGAGAGAGAGAGAGAGAAAGACGGAGCGTTTTCGTCGTGGCGTTTCGCTAATCAACGGTCTTATTGTATATCGTAACGCTTAATTAAATGTCGCGGCAATAATTATGTCCGTTGAGAGCGCTAGCTGGTATCATTTACTTAATCCCTTCGGTTAGCGCAGTTTCTTTCGCCAATTACGCCAGAAAAAATATATTCTCCCACCGTACGTATATTAACTGAAATAATCCTCATCATATATTAATCTCAGATATACATTTTCATGGGATAATGAAGAAGAAAGATTATTTACCTGAGACTCTGAAGTGCAAAGTGGCATAATTTAATTATATCCGTTAATGGGGAGAGATTAATTTCTGTAAAAAAAAATACTCGAACGCGACTCGTTTCCCTCATAAATATTCCATTGCAGAAAATAAACTCATTGATATAATCGTCACTGCAGATACATGCTCGGCGGCCGCAAGCATAATGTATCACAACTACTTTGGAGTCAAATAAGACCTACAGTGAGCAGCTGTGAAGGACTTTGCAAGCGAAGAGAAGCGATGCTCTTACCGGTTCTTCCTACGACAAGAAAGAGCGAGAGAGAAAGAGAGAGAAACGACTACGCGACGCGCGCCCGTAGAACAGATTTTGTGCTGTCGCGGCTATAAGCTGCGGTATGTATGTTTAATGCGGAGCACGCGAGGCCTACGACCGGGCGACTTCTTACTACCGTTCTCGCGCATTACTTATTCACCGTCGGCGCAATTACCAACGGATACTCCATCAAACCCGAGACACCTTTCTCACCGGTATTGAGAGAGAGAGAGAGAGAGAGAGAGAGAGAGAGAGAGAGAGAGCCGCGCGAGTTACACTCGTGTGCACATGTCTGACGTGTATCGGAGCTTGCGCAAAATGGGAGTAACGCATTATCGGCCGATACAGGCTCGTAAGCCAATAACGAGCTGCGTTACCGCATCACTCTCGTGCGTTCCTCGTTGCTCTCCGAGAGAGTTCGATCTATGACTCGCGAGATATATCTCTCGAAACCGTCGGATCATCGGATCGCGGATCGCGACGCCAGTTAAAAATTACCGAGACGTCTATCGAGACATCTTTACGTAAAACTGACACGCGTCGCAATTCTCTTGTGCCGTTCCTTCCTGGAAAATACATGACATGGAAGTCGCAGGAAGTTTAGCTCCGCCCTCACTTCGTACAGGAAGGAAACGGTTCCACGTGCAGCGCATAATCGACAGAAAACTGCACGAGGATTACAGGCAGATCTTACATGAAGACATGTCATTCGTGCGTCATTCTAGAATTTTGATATTCTAAACAGCTTTAAGTTAAACAAAGTTATTGAGCCAAATAAACCGACTGTCGCGAAACTCATTACACATGTCACATTTGATAATATGTGAAATCATTTTTCATGTAACAATTATATAAATAAAATAATTGTATGGTGAAACTTTTAATCGAACAGATATCTTTCTCTACAGAATAGATTTCTCTTAATAGAAATACTTTTGTGTTAACAAAAGGTATCTCTCTTATTCGCGACAGTCGCGAGTGGTCGCGAGCTTTTCTACGATTTTCAAATACATGAATTAAGTATCAGTTTCACATCTCAATGTAGCATTCAGGATGGCATTCCCGCGCGATAATTGCGCGCGTCGTCTCTCCGCCAAAAGGCGAACTCATTCTCCGGGAGTGAACGAAACGACTCGCTTTGTCGATCGCCTACCCAACTCGACGATCGTCAAGCATGACGTAATGATCGCGCTCTCTCTTTTTGTTTCAGGTTGACGAGGCAGAAATGGCACGGCGGGAGTCTCGGTGAGGAAAGGGCGAGGGTGAAGCCCTCGCAGGAAAAGGGAGCTATGGTGAAAAGCTTGGGTTTCCTCGCCAGAAGGGCACCACCTGCTGTCCACCTTTTCGTCGTTTTGCTCACGCTCGCCCCCGCTTACCACGGCGTGGACCTCTGTAAGTAGTTCCCTAAGCTCTAATCCGCAGGCCTTATAGTACCCGTCGCGTCTCGTCGTGAAACTTCGTTCGGCTATAGCTCCTTGGCTCGAAGTCGCGCGCAGGTTGTTTCGTTTATAAGTTATTAACGACGCGGAGGTTGCGCGACCCCAGAACTTACGCCGCCGCAGTCGACGAACTTTCGATCCGGGATCGGCTTTGACCGCGGTCATTAGGTATCTTGTGTATCTATCTGGAGACATTGCGTCTTATCATTCGAGTTGTGCGCGCCTATATTTAGCGTCTAGTATCCCTCCAAGGTTTTCGAGTGGGCGAAACCTGAACATCTGGATCTCAACTTTATCACCGACAAGAAATACATTGATAAAATGTAGTTAAAACGACGAATTATCGCAAAAATTTCTATAATGTAATAACAGATAGATGTATATTTTATTTGAATTTTAACTATTAATATTTTATCAAAAAAAAAATCGTCAAACAAATATCAATTTTCATATATTTTTATCAAAATATATGAAAATTGATATTTGTTTGACAACCTCAATCAGCGTTATTAAAATTTTAATTAATAATCAATCCATGTGATTCGTTGCAATATACGTGCTTTAATAAAAAAAATAATAGTATTGAAAAAAAATGAATGAGAATTATATAAAGAAAAAAATTCCATTTTTAAAATAGTGCGGGGTACGTTGTCTTATCGTATTAATAATAAGTAATCGCTCCGTTCCGAAGCCCTGTGTTCGCGAGAAGCAGCTTAATAGAAATAGATTTCCGGACATAGGAGAGAAAAATTGCATCGCGTAGCCGCGATAATGGAAAGCTTAATAATTGCGCCCCTTACGGAGAACCCTTCGAAACAGTATCCTCAGCGATTTCCTCCCTTTCCCCATAATCTATCTTAGCGCCAATAGCCGGAAAGTAATCGATGGTGTTTTTCTCGAGTGGAGTTCCGTTAACGACGAACGACTTTTACCGGACCATTCTCCAAGGGTGGAATCATGCGAGGCGTCTTGCACGCCGTCAGGCGTCTCGAGGATTAACGGAGGGAGATCGGAGTGTGTCTCGCGTCTCGAAAGAATCGCGAGGAGTGTCGCGTTTATTCACCCCTTATTCACGATCGATTTGCGATCGAGTGTGATATCTCACAGTGACTCGTTAGATTGGCCTCGGCGCCGACAAAGGAAACGCGGATTCTGCCGGTCGAACTTTATCGAGGGCGGGCGCAGTCGTGAGAATTCCGGCGAGGGTGCACGATACGCGCGATATATATCGGCTGGACCTTCATTAATAATAATAGCGATTCGCTCACCATGTTGGCCAGCCGAGGATCTCGATCGGCATTCCCTCCCTTTTGTTGGCACGACTTTCCTATACCATTGATTCAAATCGCCCTCTCGCACTGCTGCCCCCGCTGAATATTCGTGGACATACATTAGCGACGGGATCGCGATGTATCGCGGGCTGACCTTCATTAATAATAATACCGAGTAGTCTGCACTGGAGTTCGGACTGCCGCGACGATCTCTCGAACATCGTTCTCTTCGCGTTCTCGCGCTTGGTCCGCGAGACGTGACTTTCTCTGTTATCGATGCCGGCCCCGTACTCCGCGGAATCCGAAGACATATATTAGCGGCGGACATATCGCGAGAGCCTTCATTAATAACAACGACCAGTTCGCGCGCGCGCGAGCGCCGATCGCCGTTTCCTCCCTTTGTCGACTCGACTCTCTTGCCGTTGATTCTAATCGGCCGGCGCGCCGGCACAGTCCGAGGAAGTCGTACACATACATACATTAGTGCACCGGAATCGCGATATGACGAGGAGAGAGCCCTGTTAGTAATAACGGTGATTAATCCCATTGGCCATTTCGCCGATTCCCGATGCGACGGTCACACCACGTTTGCAGTGGGCGTGCAATTTTCTCTCGGCCGATTACGATCGAAATCGCGCGGCGTATACATTAGCAACGCGTCGTACCCCGACGGATATTCCTCTGATATCGTTTCCGACCATCTCCCCCCCCCCCCCCGTGGATTGCAAATGACAAAGTCCGACAAAGTTGTTCCAGCTATAGAAACTCACGGGACCCGACCGGTCCGATTGTACATCATAGAAATGCGTGTCGTGCAAATTGCGAGCATTACATTCTTAAGCCGCGTCGGCGAATCCAGAGATTCCATTTCGGCAATAAAATACGTTGGATTAAAACGTAAGACCAAAATACACATTTCACAACGGCCGACGCTGGCTGGCTGGCTGGCCGGGCGCGGAATTACGAGGCGAGGTGCGAGTATAGGGTATAGGTATCGTCGGAAGAACACTGCAAACTTTCGCCGGTATTAATGGCCACCTACATGCCCGGTTCTGTTCGTTGGCTTAGCACGGATTCCTTCCGTTACACTCCCCGGTACGAAGCTGCATCCTCGCCCCTCGTCCCGACGGCCCCTCGGCGCCCCCAGCGACTCGCGCTGCCTCTGCACTCGATATCCGGGCATTAGGCATTATCGTTGCCAGCTACCGTGCACCGCTACGTTGTCCGACCCCTGCTCGGGCTACTTCAAATTTTAGCAATTTCCGTATCGCGTAATGGGTATCGTTACTTGGACGTGTAAACCGTAATCGATGCCGTGTTGTATCATGCATATACGAGACTCCGCGCTGCGCTATACGATCGCGCTATATAGGCGGACGCTCGAATTGTCGTATCCGGGATTAGTTACGCTACGATATGTGCGCTCCTTTGTCGAATTACAAGGATCCGACGTGTATCCTACATGCGTCTATGAATTTACTACAGCTTTGACTTTGTAATACGCGATGAAGCATCCAGTTCGCTCGAGTGAACGACCCCGATACGCTCGCTCGCGACCGCGGATAATCGGCGGCTCTGTCTTGCGATTTCTCCGAGACAAACGGAACGATAACGGCGTGGGCAGTTAACTGCGTCTTAAAAACAAGAAACATCGCGGGTCCTTAACTGCAGTCGTTCCCAATGACACCGCCGTGACGGCCGGACGGCTGCACGAATGACGTATACGTGCATCATACTTTGTTCCAAACTTTATTGCACGAGCGGACCGACCGCGGTAACGCCTCTCGAAAATACGTGCGCCCGAGAGGCCGGAGTAATGTATGCAAAGTAGACGGTATCGTTTCTTCGATGGCCCTTAACCCTGTCATTGGTGCTCGTGGGGACGGACACGCGGGGGCTGGCCGATCTGCGCGCACGGGAGAGAGGATTCCTCTCAGATATTAAATCTCCGCGGAAGATAAAGCGTTTTATGATCCTCATTAGCGTGCAGTCACGACGACGAGAGCCTGTAAAGCTCGAACGACGCGCCCGCGCGAACACGCCTGAAAACGCCACGAATTTATTACGACCGCGGGTGTAAAAATCGTACGCGTAACGATTGTCGCCGATTCGCGCTCCGTTTCTCAGCTCTCACTCTCTATTTCTCCTCGAGGATGCAATACACGATCGACATTATACACAGCGATGCAATAAATACATTCCGCTCGAGCTATCTCACACACGCGCGCGCGCGCGCGCGCGAAAGATATATCTCGTTCCAGGCATTGACGCGACGGTGCAGACGGCAGCGGTCCTCGTAAGGCAGCCGTGTATTCACCTATGAAACAATTAGATCGGTCCAGAAGATACGGGAACATTGAGGCGCCCCCCCCCCCTCCTTTCTGTCCCTCCGCTCACGCAGGTACTCCGCCCGTCCTCGAACCGTAACTTCCACCCGCACGACAGGCAGCCCGTACACCGAGAGCGTAAACCTCGGCTATCGCGCGGATCCATCTCGGTTAGCTGGCTATTTAGCCGTTTATGATCCGGCCGTGATGCGCGCCGATGCGCCTGCTGCAGGAGAGGCGCATATATAATATCGAGGCTCGCTTTAACCTCGGCGACGCCACGTTTCGTTTGTTGCAGCCCAATGCATCGCGCCGCTCGGCATGGAGTCCGGGACGATCCCGGACGTGGATATCAACGCCAGTTCCAGCTTCGACACCGGAAACGTCGGACCCCACCTGGCACGGTAAGCGACAGTTTTTCATTCGGATAGTCTGCCGAACTGCCATCGATCACTCGGTATCTACCGGCGCCTTCTGTTACGCTCGATGCATGCGCGACCGGGCGGCGGCTGCAGCACAACGCCGCCGATATCGCGGGACGCGCGCAAAAATTGTGATCCCGACCGTGTCTTTCGTTAACGTAAACCGGACTTCAAGCGGAATATTCATAAAGACGATAGAAAGATTAGAAAGTCACTTTCGTCGCGTCATTTTTATTGCTACGATGTATATAAACGAGTTCGAGCGCCACGCTCTACTTTTAGGGATTTTCTAAAAGAAAAACAAGACCTCTCTGTGTCGACGAGGTATAAATGTATCGCCTCGTGTTAATTGTGACGCCTTTATGCGCGCGCGCACACATGAATACTAAAGGCTCGCCGGGAACGCGCCCGGTTGCTCGTTAATACGTAAAATCCAGAATATCGGGTTTGTAAGTCTATGTTTGAAAGACATTATTACGCGCGAACAAAGAGAGCAACGCGGTCGCGAATGTAATTATTTCTAATCTAACGGGGCGTAGCTTTAGCCCCGCGTTTATGCGCGAAGACCGGATAACGGAGATTAGTCGACGTCTCTTATCGTCGCGCGTGAAACGAAAAAATTCCGCGCCGCGGCGACGGGTGGGCGCGCGAGACACGGCTTATGAGGCTCTAATTATAAATTAACGCCTATCCCCGCGAGAATAAATTCACGGTGCAACAACGTATAATTAAGTAATCCGCGTACCTTTTCGATAGCTATCGTTTCTCGTTTGGCACTTGCTCTCGCGCCGAAATGAATATTTATAGGGCTGTTAAATTGATCGTTCTCCCTGAGCGCCAGTTTATTCCTCGGTTTAAAAACGAATTTATTTTTAATTGCGGCTGACGAAAATTATTCAACATGAATTTACGGCCGATCGGGGATTTACATACTGCCGTCCGTGCGTTCTGTTCTGCGTTAATAATTTCTACGTCATTATTCGATGCGTCCCTTGACCGTGCTGTTTGCGCTCGTAATTATTTACGGCAACGACAACGGTTACACCAGAAGCCGCCGAAAACTTAAAAACCTCCGTATTGCATATTCCAACAAGTCAATATGCTCCAGTATGTGTTTAATTACGAATATACGCGTTTAACGTAAAACTTTTTGCCTATAGTTAATAAACGATGAAGCACGACGGTAGAATTAATTCCATTCCAAATTAATTTCCACCTGCATCGCCCTCCAACATTTTGCCCGCCCTTGTTTCGCCACATTCGTACATATACCCCTCCTCCTCTGCCACGCAAACATTTGCAAAATGACTACGGCGCAAAACAGAAACGCCTTCAGCGGACATGCCTCGCAGGAGCCTCCCGTTCTCTAATGCAATTATTACAAAAGGACCTTTGACGTATCATATACCTGAACTAAAAAGAATATTACACCTGGCCAGTGGTAAAAGGGTTGGCCGTGTAACGCCTCTGGTAGCCGCTGGTGCAACGCATGAATACGAGATGCAACTGGCAGAGTACGTGCGCGCCAACTACCTCCTCACCCTCTCGACCTCGCTCTCTACCTTTCTCTCTATTTCTCTCTCTCTTTCTCTCTCTCTCTCTCCCTCCCTTTCTCCGCTTCTCGTTGGCGGCGCGGCACCGCTCTTCTCACTCTCGCGCTCGCGCGTTTAGATATTAATGCGTGGGGCCCGGTATTCGCTGGCGGTTTGCAGTGCAGCGGCCGGTTTATACGAATATTCCATCCCACGGGACGTATCCCAGCCCAGCAGACCGCGGTTGTAGAACCGAACGGGTGCGCGCGGCACCAGGCCGGGGTATACACGGAGCGTTGGTCGACGGCCCCGCGGGCTCTCCGATATTAATACATTCCATTACCGCAGACAATGACCGGCTGAATGGGCCTCCGAGTCTTGATGAGCTCCGCTGTGCCCCCGCAGCAGCAGCGCGCGCGCGCGCGCGCGCGCCCGGGATCCTCCTCTAGCCGCGTGCACGTCACCATCTAATTTAATACAGGCCGGCCTCGGGCGCGCGCGAGGTGCCGGCGGAGTGCGCTTACAACAGCGGCGCGCTCACCTCCTTTGTGCCGCTCGGGGGGAGGGGGGGGGGACAAAAAAAGGAGGGAATTGCCCCGGCCATTTTCTTCGAAACTCTGCGAGATGATAGGCCGACGAACGATACGAATTACGCCGCGCGGTTACGGCGTATTTTTCTTTCTCGCTCACCGCCGGCGCGGCGTCGAGGGTGCCGCCGTTCGGAAAAAAGAAAGGAAGAGAAAGGGGAAAAAATAACGCTAGGTAACCCACGGCGCGCTTTCCCGGATTCTCGTTATACTGAAAACGTCGCGAATTAAAACAACGCGCCCGGGGATGCGTTGGTTACAGGAGAAAAATCACCCGGAATATATGAAAACAACCGGAAATATAAAATACATAAATGGCTCGTAGTCTGAACGTTACGTTAAAGATTGACGTTGATCTCTGTGCTATGGAAATGTATCAGAGGACAGGAGGCTCTTTTAAGCGCAACTAAAGAATTTCTTTTTCAAGCTATCGCAGGCAAAAGTATCTGGCGTATAGGAGAGTTCTGGCATATGTGGGCATACAGGAGAGAAATGATTCGTTTTTCTCATATATATACACACACATTATATATATATATATATATATATATATATATATATATATATAGGTATATATAGCAAAAGTGATTTTGCCGATTTCAATCAGGATCGAAAATTCCCGAGTTACACAACACGCCGCGTGAGCCGCGCGATAAATCATCCGTGAATAGAAAAATAAACAGTTCCCGCCGGTGCGTATCGTGAGAGCTAATGGAGCGCGTTTTTTCCAATTATCGAGTGAAAAATTTTTGACGTACAATCGCCGCGAAAAAAAAAGTCCGGCGGGCTGTATTTCGTACCGCATGCTCCTTTCAGGAATCGTTGCAGCTGCAAGTTCTTTCGCACGTTTCCGCCGTTCCTTTTCTTCGTGTTTCCGTTCAACGGCATTTCTAGAATGGATGCAATTAAGACGCCAGTAGGAACATAGGAGGCGAGATACCGCTCGGAGAAATTGGACGGGGCTGAGAAATCACGAGACGATTTTCGCCGCGTAATTTTGTTCGAAACGAAAATAGCGCGGCGTTCCAATTTATTTCTGCCGGACGAACTGTGATTACGTGCTAATTACGCCGATGCATACTATTAAGCTCGCGAGTTTATTTTCAAACGCGAAATATTTAGTTTGTTATTGTTTACGTGACGTTGTGAATGTACATCGTTAATGCTACCATAGCTTTGAAACGATAAGCAATGATTATTTCCGCACACGTACTTCCACGCACACGTACGCGAATTGCCTTTCGAACGGCTGGAAATATGATACGAACCATTTTCCTAAATAGAGGAAACTGGCAGGAAACTGCATGATACAAGATATTTACGTCGGAAAGACCGTGCAAGCGTTGAATTAGCGAATTTTTACAAGCTCGTAATAGCTCTTACTTAGAGCCATTACTTGATACACTATAATTTAGACAGGCGCAGATAAGATGGCGGTTAAGAGAGACAGACGCGCGCCGATTATAGTCGCGACCGATTACGCTTACGCGCCAAAGTGGACCTTGTCTTCGATCTTACTCCATCTCCAACATCGAGTCAAGGCATTAAAGAATGATTGGAACAGAGACGCCTCGAGCATCACGGGCGAGGAGCTCTCCGAAAATAGCTTTTGATCTGTATTTGATGTTTCACAAACGACGAATCAGCAACATAATTTCTGATATTTCCCTTCCGAGATATGAAAACGGTGCGCTCAAAAAAAGCTTTAATTCAAAAAGATAATAGGTATCATTACGAAATAAATATGTGAGACATTATTAATTAATAATTATTATTGTAAAAATAAAAATATTTACACGGAAAGGACAATTTTGCTGAATCCAGACCTGAAAATAATTTTTGTTCAATAATGAAAATAATTTTGTGCGATAGTCAAAGTGATTGCTAGAATATCAAAATGTTTTATAACAATGCTTATCAATCTTAACATTCCAACAAAATTATTTTGATGATTCAGCAAAAAATTATTTTCAGATCCGTTTTTAGCAAAATTTTTAGATCTTTCAACAAAATCGTTGTTTCCGTGTATTCTTTTAAAGCGCTATTTAAGTTAGCGTTCAAAAAGCATGCAAATTTTACAACGTCCTCAATTCGAATACAAAATTAACCAGGATATTCTTCTATTTTCGAGGAGAAAATAGACACGCGATTTCAAATACCGATCTTAGCGCCCGATTTAGTTCTGTGATATTCGCGTTATATAGATGCATCTCGCAGTCCTTGGAGATAGCCAACGACAGCGAATGCCAGTAAAGATGCGATTGGTAAATAGTCGGGACTGTCTTTTCCCGATTTCATGACGGAGAAACGCAACAATTTTTGAACAGAGATACTCTCTCCTGACTGCAGTCTATCGCGATAACATTTATTGCCCGAGAGGCACGGCTCGCACATCTTACACCTGCGAAGATATTCTAGTCCTGCTATAAGGTTTATTGTCACGCAGTGTCTGGCATAAAAATGTAAATCTACCTATATATATTTTACATTAACATAACTAACCGTACTCAGTGCTTCGCTAATATTTCGTCCGCGGAGAACTAGTTTGAGAACTTCATCGCTATTTATTTAATTCGCAAAATCGGAATTTATCTTATTATTAAAGATCTTATTATAAAAGAAGAATTTTTAAGGCGAGCTTTAACGAGCGGAAATTGAGAAGATGTGATTAAGGGATGCAAAGCAGTATACGATTGACGAATAATTCCGTTCAATGAATTCGTCCAGTTATCGAACTGATATTCCTCTCCAATCTAAATACCTATATAATGGCATGGATAATATCGGCCGACGCGGCGTTTGATATATGTATAATAATTAAAAATATTTTAATTTATAATTTAATTAACTAGTGCATAACACAACGGATTCCTTTATGCTATAGTAGCGTAGATCCGAGATCGCTGAATTAGATGGAAAAATAACTTCTCTCTCTTCTCCGCGACGATCATTCAATTCGTAACGATAACGCACGATAAAAATTCCGCCGCGTGACAGATTCAATTTTCCCGTGACCGACAACGTCATCGTCGAAACGGTAATAACGGCGACTTTTTTTCTCACTGCGAAATTAAATTCTGACCGCGGCTGACGGGACGCGGTGCTTTTGTCGTACGAAATCGCACGCGAATCTTTTTCCATCGATCGTCATGCTCCGCCACTCGCCGACGCGGCGACGCGGCGTGGCGGTGAGATGTCCGTCAATCTTCCCGATCGATGGTTTGCATAATGCGAGCGCGTTAACGCGCGCAGATAGCGAGCAGTCCCGCTGTCACGTGCCCGTTAATACCCGGCGAATGCAGAATCGGCGGGGCGGTTGACGCGATGGAAAATTTAAGTTCGCCACGCTGTCCTCCTCTCGGCCTCGCTCGATTTAATGCCATCCGTCCGTGTCAGTCGTGCGGAGCGGACGACATGGAGTTTTCGGTGATTCGGCGTCGTGTTCCACCGCCGAGAAAACGATTATACCGGATCGTCTTTTTGGAGTACGCGCGCAGGGACCACACACCTCGATCCTTCCTCCGCCCCGCGACACTCACGGAAAGTCATTATAAATAGAACCCGCGAGCCGGTTTTGAATACCATCGCGAATTTTTGACGGTATAAAAGAGACAACGAGTGGAGCGCACGGGATATTGTCTTCGCAGAAATAAACTCGCGTTTGCATGCATTTACATTTAATTTAGATAGCGAAATTTTGTAATTTAAATGAGATTTCTATATGTATATATAAAAAAATAATCTTTCAAAAGGTTAAAGTATCTATTTTGAAATTCTTGGAATATATTTTTTTTCATGATTTACATTCGTTTAATGCATCTCGAGATTTTGCAATAGAATTATTTAAATATATATAAATATATAAAATAGCAGTTTGTAACAGTGTGTGTTTGTAATTTAAATACTTCTACATACTGTAGACTCATTGCTTATTTTCTCAATACGTATTTTTATCGAACAAGAGAAACTACATTACATTCAACATTGATTGAACATATTTGTTTTAATTCATTGTCCATTTCTGTCGATTTTACGTTGTTCGATTTCACTTCGATCGGATTCTTATCGTTAATATGTCTCAAATGCGGAAATTAAAACTCAGCAGCAACGTTTTAAATAAATAGCATTGATCAACATTTGTTACAAATTTATAAAAAAATTTCCGCCTAAATAAAAAATATTCGTTTACATATTGAATATCCATATTATAAATCTCACAATATATATGTTATATCTTTTCCCGAAATAATTGATATATTGTGAGTATGATTGAACGACTCAGTCCATTCTACCATAAAAAATTTTATGAAATTTCATTTGATTGATTTGTTTGCAAACAAGGGATCATCTTTTAAGGTTTATCATGATGAAAAAATTTACAGATTGAGATACACTGACATCGGTGTAGTGATCTGATTACGTTTTTCTCATAACGATACAGAAAATTATAATACATCGTATGATACGGAATCGTGGAAACCGCGCCTTGTCATTGCTCCACCTTCGGCTAATCATCCCGAACGAGCCGGTTGTTAACGATAAAGAGGCGCCTCCACCACGCAGGTTGTAAATCTCGCGAAAGCAGCCATTATAGCAGCCCGCGATCAGCCGCACTGCCGTTGAGAACGCAGCCGTGTTATCGTACTCGGTTAATGACGAACGCGGAGGCATGATTATTAGCACCTCGTGGATCAGTCGCGGACGTAATTTCTCGATGACACGTACTCGTCGTAAATAGCACTATTTATGTTCCTCATTATCGAGAAAGATTATTATAATCAGTCCCGCGCCGTAATAATGGCAGTTTATTGTGCCATTTCGTTGTAAGCGGTATCTTATTTTATCCGCGCAGTACGCGTCTCGCATAACCGACTGGCATCCCCCATCGTTGGCGCAATTGTCGCGAGATATTGCACCCTTCCTCCGAGCTCTTTTTCGCTAACGCTGAGATATTGGTATTCCGAGAGCGTTCCTAGCTCGCGCTCGGAACGCGCTGCGAAAACGTTTCACGCGGCGATTCCTAATCTGCAATTTGAGAAGAATACTACACCCGCCCGTATATAACTGTACGTATCCTCGGCGTAACGCCGAAAAGGAGCACCACTCTTAGTCGAGCATTTAAACGGTCCACGCAATTAGGGAAGGCGCTTCGCGCTTCATGTTTTATTCATGTCGGCCCCGGCGCGGAACTCTCTCCTCTCCTTGCCTTGCTTTCGACCCCTCGAAGATTAAAACCGAAGCACGAGGCGGGCACAGCTTGAACGTATAAATGGCCGCGTATATTCCCGTCCGACCCGTATTACCTGCGCGGGATGATACGTGGTCACTCCGAATATACATATATCTCCGATTTCCCCGCCTATGTAAATTCGTCGGTTATCGAGCCGGACTTTGGAAATCTCGATAAGCTTCCGGATTTTCGATGATCTCGGCGAGTCGAAAAGCCCATTTCTGTTTACACCTGGCGATTATTCATCATTTCTCTCCGGTACCTCCTTGTCCCAACATTTACATCCTTACCCCTGACAAATAACATCTATTTTAACTTGAGCCACGTAATAACTAATGATATAATATAGTAGATAATATTTTCGTTATATTCGGATAAAAGGTAGATACTCTACAAACATCTCGAATTGTTACGAATGCGCGTTTTTCTTCAAAACAAGGAATTCGAGATATACACATATTTTTTTTTTTTTTATTATACTAATTCTAGATCTCTTCCAAGCTTCATTAAAATGCAATTCGGATTCACATTGCGCGCGCGCAGCTTGCATGGCGTCAGCGAAATAATATTCGAGAGAGAGCACGAAATCCCCCCGATTTCTCGCGCACGTAAACGCGATAATATCGGAATTCGGAGTGAGGACTTCGATGGTCGACCGCGCGTCGGTTGATCTTCTGATAGCGCGAGATCGATGAACGGTGCTTGGCGAGGAACTAACTCGATACTTTCACATTTAATTAGATCGTTACTTTTATGAGCGGACGGGGCTGAGACGAAGGCATACGCGACTGCTCGAAATTCGATTTCTGAGAATAAAATTCCTCGGTATAGTTGTATACGGGTTTTCATGTCAATTATTTAATAGTTTTATCAAATTCTTCGTGAAATTTTTATGATTTTGTTTTCGAATTTTTAACGAAGATACATTTGCATAAAATAGCAAAAAATATTTCCGTGTGAAACATGAAATAAAAATTTATATGTATGTTTAAACGTATCTAATATTTCTTTTAAAGGTAAACAGTAACCAGCGCAAAAGTTAATTCGATACTCGACTGTCGATGCTTATAGATTGAAATCGGAGAACCTCGGTGGCGCCTGGTGCCCTAAGAACCAAATCACCCAGGAAGCTCGGGAGTGGCTGGAGATCGACCTTCATACTATCCACTTGATCACGGCCACCGCTACCCAGGGCCGTTTCGGAAACGGCGTGGGTGTTGAATTCGCAGAGGCGTATCTGCTGGAGTACTGGAGGCCGCGACTGGGCAAATGGGTTCGGTATAGAGACATCAAAGGGAAGGAGGTGAGCGCCTTAACTTAATTAAAGATTCTCTATCGTGGCGCTAGATTACGGACACTGGTATAGAAGCGCTGCCGCGAAGTTGTTCGACATTTTCCGACCAAGTTCCTAAATCGGACTGATTGGATTCTCCATTACCTACCTATTACCCTAATGGTTCAATCTGTATCAAAAATAAACTATTGTAAACTTAAATAATAAGACTATGCAAAAGAAGAAAAGTAAAAAGATTATCAACAATTATTTTGTCATATAAAGTGTGTTTTGTGTGCACATATTGCAATTTTTCAATTTTATTTCTCAAACTAAATCAAAGTAACGAGTTGGTCGTATATGTCTTTTGCATAGACTCCGCAATTCGTAAACACTTTGCAATATATATAGAGCAGATAATTATGGAAAAATGGAGACTCCCCTCATTCAATTTAAAGATCATTTTTTTCTTTTTTTACTTCTCTTATTTTTATGATCGAATATCAAAGCAGCGTAACATGGTACGAAAAACTAGACGGGTCTTTAGAACTGACAGACCGTCGGATCGACGCACGCGCGCGACCACTTCGGCAAAAACATTCACCGCTATCGTGATTTATGACGTGAGTCGGCCGACGCCGCGCCGATTCGCGCATCTATATACCGGCGCCAGTTGATGCCTGCAGCTGCTGCGGTTGCAGCGGAAAACGATCGAAATAGGCTCGATCTCATTGACCCAAAATAATCGTGCCATCGTTCCTCTGACTGAGCTGTTAAGATCGTTATTCCGGAGTTAGACAGAATGCAGTCCGTTCTATTTGAAGTGCAGTTAAAGCAGCGCCGTATATATGCCGGCGCGGGCCGGATTCGACGAGCGCCGCGCGAGTTCAAAGTGTTCGACGATCAAGAATCGATTGCGAGGCACGGGATTATCCTTGCTCGAAACGTAAGCCGCTTATCGCGAATCCGTAAGCTAATTTCGTGCCGTCGGTGCGCCACTTTGTCGGGCCCGTCCTACCAGCAAGCATGCCTCGAGTCTTCCGCTCGTCTGCTCGCGGGCGAATCTGCTGCGAGTCTCTCGACTAACGGGCGAAGCCCACGTTGAAGTATTAGCGGGAGCAGCTGCGGTGAGCGGAACGAGTTCGTGATGGACGCCGTAAAGTTAGGATACCGGCATTACCGTGTACTATGCATTAGCGGCAGTATATTCCGTTCATATCCGTAGCGACGAACCGCGATCGATGCGCCGCTACCATGTTTAGGGCATTTTCCAGATTGGACCTCTCGCATAAATATAAGGATCACTTTCAAAGTTTAACTACAGTTTCGCGACCTAACAATCACTTTGATACAACAGATAAAACGATTTGTTTCATCGACGTATTTCTTTCCGGAATTGCGCCGGAACTTTTTCTTGTCGAGTAGATAAACGTTTTTGAACTTCGGAAACTTTCGTTTTTGAAATCTTCGGAAAAATCCAAAGTATGGGTAGCATTTTGAAGCCGGCACCCTATATATATATATATATATATATATATATATATATTCGTCCGCAAACGATCAGCCAAGATCATTCGGAGTAGACTCTGTCCACATGATGGCGACTGCAAACATCAAATGTGCTCGATACCGTTTACCTTTGAGGGAGCCGCAGTACGAGTATCGCCGACGGCGACGGGACACGTTCCCGGTGAATTCGACGTCGTCTACCGTCGTCAATGTTTATGGACCACGTCGCCGTCGCTATTACGACACTTTAAGCCTCGTCGGCGCGTCCCCTACGGGCACGATTCTGTAGCGCGATGCGATCGCGTACCCCGTTCATTAATGCGGCGACGATCCCCAGTCTCGCTTTACGACGCTAAGAAGAGGCGATACACGTCCTGAAAGGCGAGACGAAAAAGCTCGCCTAACCGCTAGGCAAATTGGCCACCCGATCGGCCGTCCGTATACGTTCCTCGCTCGTCCGGTTACGATCTTATTAATATTGATGGACCATTCGCGCCGGCGCTAATGCGCTGAGGGACCGCGCGACTTTGCCGTTTCCCTCCTCCAGCGAGAAGACACCTCGCGCGTCGCACGATTACCTTCATGATTATTCAATACTTAATGATTAACCCGCTCGGTTTTCTGCCTCGGAGGCTGCGACTCTCTTGGAACTACAGTGTACACATTCGGTGAACAATCGAAAGTTCATGATTATTCAATTTAGCATTTAGATTACACAACAAATTTGAAATGTAGTAGTTTGCATAATGGAACGTCAAAATCAGATTGAGATCTATATATATAGAAAATTTGAGTTTAAATCCAATATGTAATGCATTTAATTACACCGAACTCTAAGCTGCTCCAAAATAAATCTAAAATTCACTAAAATCCAATAAGTGTGGTGTCAAAAGAGATTAATATATATATTTTCGTCTCATTTCATTCCTTTTACTCCAATTAACGAAAGTGCTTTTGATATATCTTTCAGTAATCTTTCTGCCAAACAATTTAATGCGCACTCCATCTTAATTCGATTATTTCGAAAATATGTCAAGGAGAGAAAAACGATCGTGAAACGTTATTAACTTAAACGTATGATTAATGGCGATGTAATTGGACAGGTGCTAACGTGACGTGAATCTAAAATTCCGCGCCGAGACATAGTTCCTCGAGTATGTGACATATCCTCGGCTCATCACTATTCATGGCCTTATTATCAACTCGGCGTACTTAGCTCTTTTGCGACGCGCGGCAGACGCGAGGAGTTGCTCGTGCGTAAAATTTCCGCGGCGCAATTACCAGTCGGCGGAAAAACGGCAGTGATGCTGATGGGAGCATTTCAGTATCCCTATCGATTTGCGCCCCCCCCCCCCCGAGAGCAGTTATCCGTTATCGATCGAACGTGTCTCTACATCTGGCATCCGATTACTATCTTGTTAATATTGATAGCCAGCCTGCACCGGCGCTAATGCGCCAGAGGATTGCATCTTCGTCGCACATGCCGAAGACGCTGTCTATCGTCATCGGCGCTCAACCGTGTAATTTCATGCAAACGCTGTGTAGCCCCTTCGATCCCATGATTATTCACCGCTTTATCACTAAACATGATCCGGTTACTAACCTTCATTCATTTTTCCTTATTATGGACGAAATCCATTAGCGGTTGAGATCTAATTTGGAACTTACCGCTGTATCTGAAAGAAAAAAAACAGGAGAATGTTAACCCGTTAAAAAATTGCTATCGAACAGATCTAAATATATATCTTTATATACACATTAACAAGTTTTCTTGGAAGTCAATTATTGCAATATGTATACACATATGGAAAGAACGATTTTGTTGAAAGATCTAAAAATTTTGCTGAAAACAGATCTGAAAATAATTTTTTGTTGAATCATCAAAATAATTTGTTGGAATGTTAAAACTGATAAGTATTGCTATAAAACGTTTTAATATTCTAGCAATCATTTTGACTTGCGCACAAAATTATTTTGATTATTGAACAAAAATTATCTTCAGATCTGGATTCAGCAAAATTGTTCTTTCCGTGTACAGTTAAAGTTCACGTTGACGCAACTTTGACATTTCAAACTATATTATTTGCTTTAAACTTAGTTGCGCATAACAAAGCAAACGAATACTTATTACAAATTTTCCTAAATCAAGGAAATATCTTTTCTCTGAGGATAAACACGAGATAGTTGTATAGAGAAATCCGATTAATTATTGTAGGAAATGAGATTAACTCGGTAGACGCTCGTAGAAGGAAGCGAAATTTTTGCTTCCGCAGCAAATATACCCGAGACAGCAAATATTCCCTTTCCCGCGTCACGCGCTGCGGGAAGTTTTTCCAGGGTTTTGCGGAGATATCCGGACGAGAGAGAGAGAGAGAGAGAGAGAGAGAGAGAGAGAGAGAGAAAGATAGATAGAAAAAGCGTTCTACGAAGAAGCGTTCTCGTGCGCTGCGTCGGGGCGATAAGAAACCACGAGGTCTTTAACAATTTCGAGGACAAGAGAGGAACGTTAACGTATTCTGACGTGTGCATTTGTGCGCGTGCAAGATGCATACGTCGTCGCATAACGCACACGCGCCCAGCGTAAAATGACGCGAATAGTACCACGTAATGCTAATAATAATTGTCACGCAGAAAGAGAGGCGGCGAAGGGGGGCGAAAGACGCGGAGGCACTCCAGCTTCAAAAGGCCGCCAGAGGTAATTAAAGCTTGAGGCGCGACCTTCCTCTCGCTCTTTCTCTCTATCTTTCTCTCGCCTCCGCTTTTCACCCTCGCTCGCGCCCTCACGAAGAAAGAGAAAACACCTTCCAGTTCCTTCCCACCGGGCTTCAACGCTCGTCTCAATAATAAATACCCCACGTCAAAAACCGACCCCACTTCTCATTAGTCTACGCGCCACGGCGTGCTTCCATCGTTCCGTGCTCCATCGACGGCCGGGAGATTAAATAGATTTTCTTGGAATCTCTCCGGCGCAGTTAAATTCGCCCAAACGCAGCTTGCGCAGTCCGTAACCCGCAGGAAATGGTACGTCCTGCGTAGAGAAGTTTTCGCGAAATGCGATATTTTTTTTCTCATTCCGTAATTCCGGTTTCAAATACAACGTTCTTGTTGTGTATCATCAAAATATCGCAATTAATATAATTCAACACTATATTCGCGAACAAAAATTTGGAAGAAAATAATTATAAATAAATGCATGATGAAGATTTTATAGCACGTTCGAGTGAAAAAAGCTTCCGATCCAGCAAATCGAGAAACAAAGATAAGACACGCACCATAAAAATATTATTTATTGAAAGTATACACAGTTTTTTTTTTATGAATTATCTTCCTTTTATTTTACACGAGAATTTTTTTCGGACAACGCCTTCCGGACAACGCTTTATCTTAATTTCCCGACAACATCCGTAATTAATTTTCCAAACTTACATTATCCCGAGCATACTGCCGCTAAACTTTCTCTTAAAAGCATTAATTACTCTTTTAGTGCTAACTTTTCATGTTTAGCGCACATTTTTGTGTTT